CAAATTTTTAATTGTATAATATTTAGCTTTTTCACATTTAAATTTTTTCTTCTTTTTCTCACTTTCATTGATTAGAAAGTTTTTCAATTTATGTATTGCTAAATATTTAAAGATCTTTAAATTTAAAATTTTCTAATTTTCATATTCTATATAACAATAAGTTTTATATAATTAAAAAAGTGCAATATAAATAGCTAAAGATAAAAAAGAAATTTTATAAATAATGAAGATTTAGGGTTATTTTTTTATTAATTTCATCCAAATTACATCCCAAAAATAAAGAAAAGTTAAAAAATATATAAAAAATAATATATTAGGTATTTTTCCATAATCATCATCAACATCATCCTTTTCTTCTTGTTTTATTTCCTCTACTGTAGGTACTATAAATGTTGCACTAATTTATATCAAAGGTTGGGGAATTATTAAACTCATTCTTCTGATTAATTAAGTTTATGTTCAAGCATCTAAACATCTCAACCAAAACTGCATTGAAATTAGAGTGATATTTATATTATCATCAATATTGGAGCATCATATAGTTATCCTGATTGTGCATTCCCTACTCATGCATTAAAATATGTTGCCTAAAATCATTTATAAAACCTGAGATCCAGTCCACTTTATCGCAGAGGTTTGTAACTTTATGTCTTATCATATTTGGTTCTCTAACTCGAGGATAAATCTTTGGGTTTGTTGGTTGGATCATTATCCATATAAATAATATTGTTGTTATATCTCTATTTAGCAGTTGTACTCATGAACCTTTCAGTATTTGGTAAGTTGATCTATATCTTTTCTTATACCCTCACTTATCTTTGAGACCATTTGTGATAATTTGACTAGAGTATATGCACTTCAATACAAACACTTAATAAGAAGATATTAGGTGAAAAATAAAAATAACTCCTTTTAGTTTATATAAAATGATTGGTATCACGAAACTAAAATAAGTAGCACAGCAACACCTTCTTAGATTACTCAAAAGTAGTATGAAAAATATGGTGTTGAAGTCAAATAGTGCCATGGGGCAATAATTTGGAGCTTTTGACAATCCCACTATTACAGTGCTCAACATTTATTAGGATTGTAGTGCTCGAAAATGTAGTGCTTCAACTACCTCAATAATGATGTTTAATTTTGTTTTATTGAATTGAAGGCTATGCTGTAATGCAAAAATTATTTCCAAAAATTTGAGAGCTCAATTCCACTATGGTGTATTGCCAATGTTGAGGCCTTATGGGGCCAATTTGGTAATATGGTAATAGGTTTCTTTAGCATTATGGTTCCATATTAAAATCTACTTTTTCTTGAATTGAAATAGTAATATTTTACTCAGGAACGCATCACTGCATCACTCTAGCAAATTTTTTCTTAACATGTTCCTTTTTATAAGGGAAACCCACGTAGGAGCCTACGGGTTGATTAAATTTAAAAGTACAAGGTCCATAGTAATACACTACACATAGTTAAGAAAAATTGATGACACATTATACAACTTCTAATGATAACAAATCCTACCTAACCAAGAACTTCTTATCTTAAACTTGAATCATTCACACATAATATATTATAATAAAATAACAAACATATATAATGTTTTTTGTTTCCTTCAACCAATTATAAATTAATAATCGTTATCCAAACTATGCTTTTCTCTTCTCTATATTGAGCCGACTCCACTTAAGTCCTAAGGCAATCTATCTCCCCTTCCCATTATGGCTTTAGTCTCTAATCATTAATTTTAAAAGTATCAGTCTGTTTATTATACATAAAGTATATATCTCTAAATAGATACACCTTAATAACTTTGAAATCTCATTAACACCTTGACCTCAACTTCCCTAAAATAATTTCAATCCTGAATTATACAAAATCTCTTACTTTTCAGGCTCAAATTCCTTCCTAATGAGTTTACTATCTTTTACATTTTAACTTTTCCATATACATCTTGGAATTTTTAAATTCATTATTAGTAAATTTCCTTAATTCATTAAGTTGTATTAGTCTTTTTTTTCCTCAGCAGATTTAAGATTGTAATTAAATTCTTTCACCACCTAATATGCTTTACGCTAAGACTTTAAGATGAAGTGACAATCTTTTACAAAGATCAACAAAGATGGAGATATTACATTGCTGTTAAGAATGCATTTTTATAAGTTGATAGTGCATCATCTAATCTCAATACCAAATCCCTCCTATTTTGACTCACATTCTATAATTATTTTTATCTCATAATTATTGATTTCAACTAGGCCACTCATTTGAGAATGATAAGCAGTTGCTATATTATCTTTAATTCCATATTTTTTTTTAATTAGATTCACCTCTCTCTTATTACAAAATAAACTCCCTCCATCCCCATTGATGATTAAAAAAACTTTCTTCTTTAAATGTTTAATTATTACCTGAGCATCATTTTTGGGTTTTTCAACTACCTCAATACCCATGGAGATATAGTAAATTACAATTAGTATATATAGTCTCCCAAAATATTTGAAAAAAATACTTAAGAAGTCTAGCTCCCAAATATCATGATCTTTACTTCTAGCATATAGATAAGGCACATTTTATCTTTCTTTAAAATATTACCTATCTTCTAACACATATCACATCTTTTGACATATTCATTTGCATCTCTAAATAAGAAATGCTAATATAATCTAATTGAATAGTCTCAGAGGATGTTTTAAACCCTTCATAATACCCTCCATACATTGAGTCATCGTAATGACTAATAATGTTTTAAATCCCCTCATCCATGATACATCTCATAATGATTTATTCCTTGCATATCCTAAATAAATATGGATCATCCCAAAAGAGATTTTGACATCAAGCATAAATTTATACCTTTGTGTATATAATATATCAAATCGGATTACACCAATCACAATATTATTCATAATGTAAGCATACCAAGCACATAAGGAGTGAAATGCAAAACCTTTTCACCTCATAAGAACTCATTGATGTCACATTAATTAAATATAGGTTATTCCCATTCTAATTCATACAAATGATCAGCTACAAGATTATTAGCTCCTTTCCTATCTAAATTCTCTACATCAAACTCTTGTAATAATAAAATTGATCTAATCTATCTCATTTTTGTTTTTTTTTTTTTTTTTTGTTAACATGAATTTTATAGAAGGGTGAAAAGTAAAAATAATTACATTAGTGTTGAGTAAATTTGATCTAAAATTATCAAATATAAAGACTATCACAAGAAATTCTTTCTTAATTATCGTATAATTAATTTATGCATCCTTTAATATTCTTCTAGAGTAATACATAACATGAAATTTCTTATCTAGTCTTTATCCTAAAATTGTTCCAATGTCATAGTGAATAGCATCTCACAATAAGAAAAAATTTAAAAACCATTTACATGAAATGATGATAGGTGTACTAAATAAACACTTAATAAGTTTTTAAAATGTAGTTATAGAATTAGAACATATTAGATAATATGTCCTTTTCAAGCAAATGAGTTATTAGTAAAATATTTTTAGAAATTTTTTTATTAATTCTTCTAAAAAAATTAGCACAACTTATAAAACATTGTACTTCCTTAATATATGTATGAGGTGGCAAATTTTTAATCACATAGATCTTCTCCATATTTACATTCATACACATCAAAAAGATTTATGTCTAATGACATTTTCTTCCTTAACAATAAATTGTCATTTTTTTTCAATTGACATAAAGTTTATTTCATTGCATCTACTTAAAACAAGTTCTAAATAATCTGAGCAAACATTAAAATTTGATCCAAAGATGGAAATATTCGACATAAAAATTTTAATGTCTAATCTATTAAATCCGATAAAAAAGTCATATTTCATCATTGAATTGTTCTAAGGGCATTGCATAATCATAAAGGCATTTTTCTAAATGCAAAAGCTTCGGGGGTACATGTAAAGATTATCTTTTTTTTGTTTTCTAAAGCAATAGAATTTTTTTTTCCATCCTGAATAACCACCTAAAAAATAATAAAAAGGATGCATGCTCACCTATAAAGCATTTGATCTATAAAGACAAATAAAAAATGTTCTTTTATAGTGGCCTTGCTGAGTTTCCTATATTCAATAAAAAATTCTCCACCCAGTTAAGGTTCTTGCTGGGATAAGTTCATTTTTCTCATTCATGATTATAGGTATCTCCTCCACAAGTTATTTTGTATTCATAAAGTCTTCCTCAATCTCTCTCCCTCTCCTTTATTGAGTAGTGTTGTAATGCTCATTCCCTTTTTACTTAGTATTTATATCTATATTATGAAAAAATATTCCTTAGCATCTACAATTTATAGAACTAGTTAATATTAAGAATAGATTTTCAATGTTCATTATTACAGTGGCTTTATTCTATAATTGGGTTCATAGTTAAAAAAATAGGTCATCTAGAGAAGGCTTATTATCCTTAAATTTTGTATTTGTATTGAATTCAAGTGGAAAATTAGGCTTTAGGTTTTCAAAGTGATATTGAGGTGGGATCTAGTTTCCTACATGGTTGGGTTAGTTAGGATTCTACTGACTACCTCCCTTAGGATAAATATTCCCTTGGAAGTTTGGAGAATTCATCCAACCTGGATCATAAGTGTTAGAATAAGGTTTTTTTTTTTTTTTTTTTTAGTAATTGCATTTAAAGATTCAAACCGTGAGAAATTTATTTTACAACATGTTATATAGATCATGTCATTAACTGATAAAGGAATTACTTGGAATGTATGAACTCTAATGCTATACATTTTAATTGAGTTTGTGGTTACTAGGACAACCAAATAAATAAGGCATAAATATCAAACACTAGCCACTTTCCTATGGTTCCCCCAATCAGAGGGCCATTGTATGTTATTGATGGTCTTTTCTTCAATTAAAGCATAAACTTCATTAAAGGATTAGATTTCAAAGAATCTGTAGCAGGACCATCAATGAATGAGATGAGAGATCTTATAAGTCCATTATATAATGTTTGATTGATAAGCCAATAAGGCAAGGCTTATGAGGAAAATTTTTTAAGTAATTCTTTAAATCTCTCCCAAGAGTCATATAATGATTATCCATTTAATAGAGTGAATATAGTGATGTCATTCCTAAGCTTTATTATTTTGGATTGAGGAAAAAACTTATCTAGGAACTTACTAGCTAAATAATTCCATGTGATAATTAAGCATAGCTAAAGAGTTAAACCGCATCTTAGCCTAGTGCTTACGAAAAAATAAAATAATCTAATTCAAATGGATTTATGAATGGCTTCATTGTACTTAGACATTGACAGGCTTTATATCAAAGTTATTACATGGGATATAATGTTTATTGATGCTTTGACGAATGCCCACTACCATAGGATTCACATACTCTTAAAGTAGTCTAGGTTGGTTCAATTTTTGTACTCGGTTAAGCATTCTAATATCTTCATGCTATTTTTAGAATGTTTTTTTTTTTTCATTTTCTTAAGTTATTTATATTAAAGGGTCAAAAAAGACTTCTTGTTGCTGATATCTATAATAAATGCAACAATAATTACAAACACTGGGAAAATATAAATCATAATATAATTGAATAAAAAAACTATATAGTAAAATACTAATATAATAAAAATAAATTATAACACAAAATCTGGCCATGAATAATAAAGTATAATTAACTAATACACCTTGAAAATAATGCCAAAATTTTTATCACAACAGAGGATACTATACTATGTGTAAATACTTGATTTACGCAAGTTTATGTGTTATGTCAAGTAATAATGTAATGAATAATATATCATTTCCTTGAGGATAGGATTCACCCCAAGATAACTTTAGTGATACTTATATGAAGTACTTAATTTATATTATTTATAGAATTATATGGGTATGCAATTGGAAGCTATTATTTTTTATTTAAAAAGAAACTTTTGTGTTTAAGGATTTTTTTACATAAGGTTGTTAAAAACTCATGAATTTTAAAGTTAGATAACTCTTGATATTGCTATTAGTCATAATACAAATACTTCTTATCTTTTACTGAGTTTATTTTTTTTTTATTTTTTTTTTTGAATTTGCCAAGGGCATTTAATAGAAAGGAAATAACTATTACAATCTAGAAAATGATAGAAACCCTATCACAATCAACTTTAAGCAAAGTAAAAAAACTAGGAGGAATCTTATTTCAATAGAGATCCTCCCAAAAAAATCTTCTACTAAAGCAAAATTAGCACACAAATCGGCTAATTTATTACAATCTCTATGGAGAAAATGAAAAAGGAAATTACTAATATCCTTCAAGAAGGACAAATCTTCAACCTCCTCCTTGTAGGGAACTTTATTCATAGAACTTTGAAGATACTTGATGACATTATGATTATCCCCTTCAATAATAACTCATTTAGCTTCCAAGTTCCAATTATGATGAAAGAATTTCAAAGCCCTTATAGCCATAAGCTCCAAAAAGCCAATGTCCTAATCTACACATTTGATACCAAAAGAAAAAAAAGAAACCTTCCTTTATGGTCTCTAAAAACTCCTGCAATTCCGGCTTCATTAGAGTCTAATAGAGCAGCATCAAAGTTACCTTTAATCCACTCAGGTGGAGGAGGGTGCCAAGAAGAATTAGACATCTTAGAAAGCTGATTGGCTCCCCAGAGGTCCGAGAAGATATCACACTTTGAGGAAGAAGTAGCTGTTTCAATAGCTTTAGCAGAGAGGAATCCCGTCCCCAGCTCTTTGCCACCATGGGTAACATTATTTCTACTTTTCCAAGAGAAGTAAACCACTGTACAGTAAAGATTATCCAAAAAAGGGTTTGATTTAGACAAAAACTTTAAACAATTGATATAATCTGATCAATTATTATATCTAGGTAGTTTGAAACCCCGATTGCCTAAGGTCTCAAACAGTTGAATTAACATACCACAGTTCACCGCAATATGCTCCTCTATTTCAGCTGTTGTACATCCTCTCAGATAGTGATTCGAATGAATAATCCTTATATACATGAGATAATCCAAAGTTGGGATACCTTTATTAAGTAATCTCCACCAAAACAAAGAACTCGTGGCAACAGTTTAATCAACTTCAACCACTTCCAGCAGCTATTTTTGATACAAACAGCACCATGTTCTGTTCTAGCCAAAGAAGCCAGTGATTTACCTAAAAACCTGTACATAAATTGTCTTGAATCAAATTATTTTCCTTTCTCAATCTGTATTTTTAAAATCAACTTCATTAATTCCTATCCAAAGTATTTCCTTAGCTCAATCTGATTCCATTCCTTATCTTTAACAAAGAAATCAAGTCTTGGGAATTCTTCTATCATAACATTGATGAAAGTTGGCAATTTAGAAATACTCCTGTTAAGAATCCACACATCATATAGTGTATCAATGGAAGCACCTGTAGCAATCTTCCATTTCATTAAAGGCCGCAAGGAATTCATTCCATTAAGTAAAATTTTCCATGTAACAGAGCAGTTTTTCTTTCTTTCTTCACTACAAATATTATTCCCATACTTAGCTCGTAGAGTCCTGTACAGCAAAGAATTGGAACGTTTAATGAATTACCAAGCATATTTAGATCTAAGAGGTCCCATCATGGAAGTAGATGAATGAAAATCCGCTCCACCTTCAGCACAAGGCTTAAAAAGAACCTCCCACGAGATGTAGTGCATACCTGAAGCATTATCCAATTTTTTCCAAATAAACTCTCTGCACATCTTCTCTAATTTCTTCAGGATGTTAATGTGGACCAAAGAATGGGAAACATAAAAGATAGGAATAGCAAGAAAAACTATTTTCACCAAAACAAGTCCCCCAGGAAAAGAAAAAAACTTGTTTCCCCAACTGTTAATCTTAGTTGTGCCTTCTCAAGAAGAAATAAAAAAATCTGAAGACACCATTCTACGTAAGCAAAGATTAGTTCCCAAAAATTTCAGTTCCTGCACCACCTTATATTTGAGAATTTTAGACAAAGACTTCTTCTTTGCTCTACCAACCGACTTCCCATACATAATAGCATATTTAGTCACATTAACTGATAACCCCATCCAGTTACAATAATCTGCAATTATACTTTTATGCAATTTCAAATGTACAATATTGGCTTCAGAAAAAAGAAGAACATCATCTGCATATAAAAGGTGTGAGACCTTAGGTGCCGAGGCAGCCACTTTTATCCCTAAATCTTTACCATTTTGGTACAAGTTGTTAGATAAAAGTTGGGAGCATAAGATGAAAAGATGGGGAGAAAGTGGTCATCCTTGTCTAAATCCACTCTTAGCTTCAATCCAATTTGATTTGGTTCCATTGAAAAGAATACAGAACTTAGGATTTATAACACATTCCATAAGAAGATTTGAGAAAACTGTAGGAAAGCCAAAGTATTTCAGAATATTTCTCAAAGAATTCCAAGACATACAATTATATGCTTGTTCCATATAAATTTTCACCGCCACCATCCATTTCTTAGATTTGGAAAATCTAAATTTATGAAATATCTCTTGCACCAAAAGAACATGCTCCGAAAGAGATCTTCCTTTTAAAATAGCTTCTTGATTTTTCAAAATCAAGTTATTGATTACCAAAGTAAGTCTATTTAATAAAAGCTTTGCAACAATTTTATAAATAGACAAACATAAGCTAATAGGATGAAAATGAGAAGGATCTACCGGATTTTGAACCTTGGGAATGAGGACAACCAAAGTCTCTTTCCACTTAGCATTCATCTTTCCCATAGAAATGAAATGAGAAATAGCCTTCCAAATATCTTTAGCAATTAGCTTCCAATAAGATTTGATAAAGGAATAAGGAATACAATCAATTCTTGGAGAAATATTGCTTCCAAGACTGAGAATGACTTTCTCAACTTCCTCCAATGTATAATCTACATCCAGCAAACTAACATCTTCCTTGCATAAAGTTTCCAACTTGTTCGTCCACCCAGAGATAATACAGTCCCTATCCTTCCTTTTTTGAGAAAAAAACCTTAAGAAGGTTTGTTCAATTGCAGTTTGATCTGTAACCATATTCCCAGCTTCATCCTTTACTTGCTTTATAAAGTTCCCATTCAAGCATAGGATGAGTTATCAAGCACAGGATGTCATTTGATTTTTGGAAAACTATTCACATCTCTATTATCAAGCACAGGATGAGTTACAGAATTTTCCTTCTCCACAGTAGAGTATTCAACATTTTCAGTAGTGACAAACTCCCCTTCTTCAATATCAGACATCTCAGGAATACATTTCCCAATAGCAATTCTTTCACCAATTTCCTCATCAATTTCACCAAGCAATTCAAATTTATTATTATTAGGAAAAGAAAAATTAGTATGAGTAAATTTTACCAAATCCAAATCAGAAGAAACAGAATCTCCTAGTTTTGGAAAGCTCGGAACAACCATATTATCCTCCACAACCAGGTGAATTTTCTCTGGAATTTGTAAATCAGCTACCAAAATTTCTTCTAGAACTTCTCTCCCATTAGATTTCTACTTGTTGTAGGTCAGAACAAACTTGGAAATAATAAACTTATTCCTTTGAAGATTGTTCCATCTCTTCTTTTTGTTATTGACATGAATCCAAGGCCCATACAAAGAACCTTTAGGATTCACTTCAAGTACATCAGCTCCCTTCAAAATTTTAGCAACCACATGATCATTGCCTTCATTCACCACTTTAGCTTCACAAGAATTAGTTGAGTGCCCAATCTTACCACACATATAACAAAGAGAAGAAATTCTCTCATACTCATTTTTTTGAAAGAACCTACCATCAGGACCTTCAACCCAAACCCCCAAGGGTATTTTCTTATCAAGTTCAAATCTCTCACAAACTCTACCAAACTCCCTTTTGCTCCATTGAAACATATTTCCATCAATAATAAGAGGAGTGCCAATAAGGGATGCAATCCTTGCAACATTGACTTCATCCCAACAAAAAAGAGGAAGATTAGGCAATCTAACCCAAGCTGGAGAGCTTAAGCCTTTAAAGAAGACAAAGAGAAATCCAAACTCCATCTATCCATTCCAATTATGTGCCCATTTACAAACCAAGGTCCTCCAACAATAACATTCTCCATTGTTTCTTTTGCATATAACAAGCACAATATCCATCCTAACC